AAGATAAGCTGAAAAGTATTGTTCGCTGATTTGTTATGAGAGATAAACATATTCCTTGCTGAAAAAATACGGCTGGTAAGACAAGCGAAGGAGTGCAGAGCAGCCAACAAGGACTCTCTTCAAATACATAATTCTTTCAAAGCTAAAGCTAGTCTAGCAAGTTCATGCGCCACCATGTGGCTTCCCAATCACACCGCTCAATGGAGATTGCCTCGAAATTCAGCCATAGATGAAAACAATCATCGTAAATCGGAGCACTTGCTGCAGCCGACCAACCCATCCTTATAGTCTCAACCACTTCTGAACAGTCTGACTGTGTAGGATAAAGCTATTGCAGCCAATATGCTGAGCCAATCGCAGACCTTCCTTGATTGTCATCTCCTCCGCTGCTGGGGCGTCTATTAGGACATGTACAAACCACAGACAGTACAATGTCTTTATGATGATGTCACATTACATATAGACCGCTAAACAGACCGCGCGTATAATGGATTGTCTGTTTGGTTGTCTATTAATTTTTTAATGTCTTCATGTAGCCATGGTGTAAATATGATTCATATATACCATTGTGTTGCTCGTTGATAAAAAAGATCAGACATGAATAAGGTGATCATGGTTAGCATATTTTTTTGAAACCATGAATATAAATGATATATTAATATATTTATATATAATAGACAACTTAATAGGTAATTTATACAATGCATTATCTATTTAGACGCCTACAAACTTTTTAATGCTTACATATAACCATGATCAAGCACGAATATAATTCATGTATACTATTGTGTATTGTGTTGCTTCTTGATACAAAATAAATGAAGCAAAAATAAAGTTTGAGAGATTCTATTTTAGAGTATTTAGTGAACTTGATAAAAAGTTTGTTGATTTGATCAAATACAAACAAGAGTATTTATTTTTATTTGAAAGTCCACGAGCATTTTAATTTAACGATGATTTGATTGATGGGATGGCACTACAACCAGCAGGCGTGCAACCAAAGATTATCAGCTTCGGAAGACCGGTCACTAGCCATAGCGTGCGCACACTGGATCTGTACAAGGAGAACACGAGCGATGATATCACGTCGGAGCACGAGCCACAGCCGGCGCCTCGCCAAAGGACGGCTACATTCTCTTTCTTCATTTAGTCAGGCAAATTTGCATCGCTTAGTGCATACATACGGCATCAGAACATGCGTTGTACGTGCCCTCATGTGCTCGAAATATGCATATGATCCAGCTATAAATGATCCATTTGAATCTCTACTAACCACGCCTGCTCCACCGCTGCTTTTCTCCACTCTGAAGCTTCCATCGACATTGATTAGTAGCTTCCCTTCCGGCTGCTTCTTCCACCCCTCCCGCTGCCTGACAATCTTTTGCATTGACCTATGATAGTTCGTCACTAGGGTAGCAATCGAGATATGGCAGATCTTGCGGGTTGTTGAATGCTCTCGCCATGGACAAACTTCTCCCGCTCCCACCAAATATACCAATCTCCCATTAAAATTAATTCAGCATGGCCCACTCAATTCAGCTTTTCAAGTGGTCTGTATATATTGATCAGATCGGCTATCAGAACTGAACCTAATCTGTCGGTATTCAGTACCTGTGTATATGTCAAATCATATCTTGCCAGCACTTAGGGCGTCCGCAATGGTGCTAACTACATAGCTAACTTACATGGAGGCGAGAGACAAGAAGAAAGACTATTTTATACATTTTTATTTTCCTATGTATGGCTGGACCCACATATTTCTCTCCTAGATTTTTGGACTACGTGAAATAGGTCAGCTATTTGTTTGTCGCTAGTGACTACTCTCACCTACTTTTTTTTCTGTTCACGTCAGAATAGCTAGCTAAATATTTCTGGTGCCGTACCAGAGAGTTAGAAAGAAGCTGAAGATACTTTATCCAACGCGCCATCGCCGCTTCCATATTGCCAAGAAATCAGACCCTAGATAAAACAAAAACCGACGAAAAAAAGCCAATCTGTGAAATAAAAGGACATGCGTGTCCCATTTGCACCGGCGAGGTCGCCCATGAGAGAGAGAGAGAGAGAACGATGCGGCGGTGGCCAAGAATAAACCTAGCGCCGGCGACGGTTGTATGTAGGAGCGGTCCTTGGGAGCAGAGTTTTATGTACGATTAGCCTTTACGTCTACATGTAGCGCCCGTCGGTCCAGGCTAATTAAACCATGCATGCACCCACGGCCTACCCATAGCCGGTTCTATGTTTTCATTCAAAGGCCTAGGGCGAACTTGACAATGGGCCCTTATGGCTACACACATGTTTAATTATATATGTGCTAATATGCAATTGTATAAAGGTGTATATATATATACAAAGGAGTTAATTGATGAGCAATGACAATATCAAAATACAATGACAAGACAGAACAAGAAAATTACACTAATTTGATTACCTCAAAATCCCAAATAAAATCAAACTCCCATTATGAAAAGAGACTTCTTCGAGCTTTTCTTGATGCAAAATCGTTAAGGACAATGTCGAGATTAATAGTGTCCAAGATATCCTTCTCAATGCAGCACGTAGCTAAGCCATTTACTCTTTCTTGTGACATAGTTGACCTCAGATAGTTTTTCAATAATATCAATTTGGAGAAACTTCTTTCAGCGGAGGCTACGGTCACATGTATAGTCAAAAGGATTCGATAGGCAACAGAAACATTTGGATAACAATATAATTTGCATCCATAACGAACTCAAGAATCTGAGTTGCTGACATCAAAGTATCTGGTAAAGTCATTTGGAGCACCTTTAATTCTGAAATGAAATCATTTATCTAAACATCGGAATGGGCTGGCATCTTGTGACAAGGCTGTTGTTGGGCTGGACAATGGACATATATAGGGGATACATATTCCTGGGTCTGGGCCCCTAAGTAAGCTGGGCCCTAGGGCATCGCACCCGCCGCACCTCCTCTGCTACGGCCCTGAAGTCTCGGCCGGGGGACTCTTTCTGCTGATAACGCCTTTTCCGACTTCAACTACAACCGTCCAAGTCCAAGAATGCATGTTGATCCATCGCGTCGCGCCATATACCACCTCTTTCTGATTGCATGCATGCTGCCTTTTAACACCGCATAATGATCAGCGCGCTTTCCAGCACTTCCTTTTGTTTATCTAATTAAAAATACCGGCATGCTATACAACATATATGTGTTTTGACCAGTAGCGTAGCCAGGATTTGTAGCTATGGTTGTCCATTGTCTAAATTTTTTTAATGCTATACTAGTTTGATAAGTAAATAGAACCAATAATAAACTTTATCGCTCTTTGTTTCAACAATTCTCCAAGAGAATTATATAATGTTTCAATATATATCCAATACTACAAAAAATCATATATTGAAATAAAATAATTCAGTGTTGCACTTGCACCAAAAAATCAGTTTTGCATACCCTATGGCTTGTGCACTTTTCCCGTCTGGATCGTCTGCATGCAGATCGCAGATCACCGAACGGATCATATATTGAAATTGAAGAAACTGAAAGGAAAAGAAGAAACGTATGTACTTATGACTAAAGGAGAATAGGGATAGACCATAGACGTTGGCTCAAAGCAGCCAAAGAGGATTTAACATTGGCTCAAAGAGTTCGGTCTTGGAGTCGCTAGGATATAGAGTACCGCTGGGCTTGCTTATATGCGTTTGCCGTCGTGGAGATGCCGATGTCGATGGGCGATGGCCGATCGGTGCTCGCCACCGGTAGCAGCGGTTGCATCGCGTCATCCACCGATCCCAAAGACTTCACGATTGCACCGCACACCACGCGAAAGAAGGAAAGCAAACAATAGACGAACTGACGGCGGCAGCCGGAAGATCCTGAGCGACTGAGCGAGTCCTAACTCTACCTATGGGCTTTGGTTGCGCCGAGCGCAGGGTGGTCCACGGCGCACAGGGACCACCCTGTAGCTCCGCCCCTGGTTTTGACAAAAAGAAAACACATGGATTTTTTTTATCTCTCTCCCGCTCTCTTTCTCATATATAAGGTCAGACGTCACGTGTCAGTCTCACGGCCATCAACCGGTCGCCGTCGTCGTGTCACGGGCAGAGATCGACAGCACGTTCGTTTGGCTATGGCTTGTCGTAAACGATCGTAAATTTTCAATCGGAACAGTATTTTTCTCTCACACAAACCAGCCAACCCTACTTCTTTACAAACCAGCAACGATACAAACCAGCCAACCGAAAAGGCTGCGCAGTGCGGTGCCGAAGACAGCTACCACTCCAACTGAGATGACAGCATGGTCCACCTCACGTGTCACGGGCTCACGGCCATCAACCGGTCGCCGTCGTGTCACGGCCAGAAATCCAGTGCGGTGCCAAAGAGTCAAACAGACGAGACGTTGGACGCGACTCCTCTTGAGATCTCCTTCGTCCAACTTGGAGTTTCGAAGCGCTTGATACCGCTACGTGTCTTTGGCGCGCGTCGACCGGCTAGCTCGCCCCGGCGGCAGCGGCGGCTGTGATTTGTCCTTCCATACCGAAAAAAATTATAATATGTCATCTGTGAAGACCGGAAGTAGAAGAAGGGTTGAGGTTACTATTGGATCTTAATCCTATAATGTAAAAAGATTTATGTATTGAAATTACATAAAACATATGATCGTATGGTAGATAGACTCAAATACTTAAAAATAAATAGCTCTGATCTGAATTAAGCTTGCACTTAAGTTGTCTAACTAATGAACAACCCTACCACTAACTAGAACAGTCGCGGGCAGGTAGGCTGGTACCAGTAGTAGCCAGTACCACCTCAGGCTGTGTAGCTACGCATCTCGATCTCTGGCATCATGAATGTTTCAGTCATCACTCATCATTTACACTGTAAATAAAGCAAATTCATTGCTCCTTTTGTACTCTTCCTTTTCTTCTTCAACTCCATCGCATTGCTTCTTCCAATCCAATCCTCAAAGAAAGCCCGACATACAACTCCCGCGAGCGAGGGGCCGGAGAACGAACCAAGCTAGCAAGATGGTGAGGAGGCTGCGGCACACGACGGCGCTGACCACGCTCTTCAGCTACGGGCTGCTCTTCGCCTTCGGCCAGCTCAGGGATTTCTTCCGCAAGCTCCTCGACTGCTTCAAGCCCAACAACGACGTCAAGGTCGTCGTCGTCGGCAGGACGATTTCTTCCGCCTCTCCCCCCCCCGGATCCGCCGGCAGAGATCCCGACCGTGTCGCATGCAGTTTTGGCAGCTCGCTCTTTTCTGAAGTGCTAGCCTGATCCCGACATTGCCTTTCATGCAGGGGTACGCGCCGATCTGCGTGGGGCTGGAGGATTTCTTCGTGCGACGCCTCTACCTGCGGGTTCAGGTGAGAGTGAGACGAATGCATCGGATTTCGTTGCTGAATCCGTAATGTGATTTGTTTACCTTGGCTGATTATTAGTGTCTGAAGAACTTCTTTTTGCATTTCTTTCTTTAGAAAATATATATGTTTTTCCTCGGCTTTATTATTTGCAAAAAGCGCAAAACATCCAATCATTCTAGCGTAGGCGTGCCGCGTGGCCGCCAACTTTCTTTGCATTTTCGTTCATTAATGGGCACCCTCTAGGCTACACATGTATATTTTGCAGCGTCCCATCAATGTCATGAGTACTAACTCCGTCCTAGTATATAAGAGCAAGATCAATAATAAAGTTAAGTATTTGACTCTAAGTCAAGTTATAAGAATTAAACTATACGATGGCTATCTTCAACTTGTCTAAAAATATTTTTTACTATTGTATGGTATCATGTCTCACATTCTCTTTGATATTCCTTGTCACATATGTTTCCATCTAGACTCATCATTGTCTATGTTTTCATGTCTAGCTTGTTGCTTGCATGAATGTCAAATTCTCCTCTCTCTCCTCCTTTCTCTCTTAGACATTAGCAAAAATGTTGATCAGCTAGGCTACAAGACAATTGTTGGACTTGCTCTAAGGCGTAATCACATTTGGTTTAAAAATTAAGAAACATATTTAATTATCTGTGTCAATACTATAGTACTACTGCATGGATGTACACGCGTCTAGAGAAAACACGCTTTATATTATAAGGACTTGAATAAAAAATGGTTATGACATAAATTAGGATGGAGGGAGTATTTAGGAATCTAGGCACGTTGTAGTTGGCTATATAGGCGTGTTAGGTTGGTGGTCTACCATACAAGTTCCTCGCCAGTCATCGATCCTGATCACCGGGTGTCCGAAATTGATGGCTTGGATCCGCTACCCCATCTGGCGGTAGAACCAAATAGGTCCTATATGTCTTTAAAATATTACATCTTTTATGTTAGTTTGTTTGTGAGAATTTTAAATTAAACGCATCCTTCCCAATTCTATAAGCTTGTTCATCATGCCTTTGAATGTCTTACGCAACTAACACTAGTGAACAGATCGATAAATATGCCAAGGAATATTATTTATTAATTACTCTAGACGAAAACACTATGGTTTGAGTCAATCAGCTACTTCAATGTTGATTGTATTGGATATAACCAACAGACTTGCTAGCGCCCGGACGCCTGTTCTAGAGCGCTAGCGTCGGACGTTGTTGCGCGCGCAAGAGAAATGGAGCCCTCATGCTAGTGCTCAGATTCTCATGCGTCCGTCTGCGCCTGCTCGGCGGCGCCCCAGCAACGGTCCGCGGCGCTCGGACATCACCTAGTAGGTAGTAACTGCAGTGGGTGGGTCCCATTGTACATGTGCAATATCATATCTACTTTTGCAACACCAGATTAAACACTTGCAACATACGTCCGAAAATAGCTGAAACATTTACAACATACATCTGAAACACTTGTAAAACACCTGGAAATACACTTGAAAGCCATTACAAATATATGCAACATCAACATGAAACACTTGCAACATACGTATGAAACGTCTGAAATACTTGAAAACATACACTTGCAACATGCATGTATATACAACATCCAGATCTACTTTTGCAACATACGTCTGATACGGATGAAACATTTGAATATACATTTGAAACATATGTGTATAACTATTGCAACATGTACAACATCCCGATTTACTTTTGTAAAATCGATATAAAACACTTGCAAGATACCTCTAAAACACTTGAAACATACGTTTGCAACATGCTCTTCTAGCGCAAACATCTCCTTGTTGCTTCGGCGAATGGAGGCTTGTCGGTGCATGGAGTCACCGTTGTGCTCGCCGGCGCTCGGAGCTCGTCGGAAACGTAGAGCAGGGCGGTGGCACATAGAGGGCGGGGTGGGCCGGCACAGGTGACGGTGGCGCAGAGGGCGGGTGGGTGGCGCATGGAGGTCACCGGTGTGCTCGTCGACGACGTGGAGCTAGGAGATGGCGCACATAGGGCAGGGTTTGGGCGGCACAGGCGGCGGTGGCGCAGAGGGTGGATGGGTGCGGCAGCGGTGGTGCAAGGGTGGGTTGAGCGTCCGGAGGATTGGACGTCGTGACCCTAGCATTTCGGTATAACCAAACTGTCCTTTGTGGTTTTGCAGGATTGCTTCGGTAGGCCAATCGCTAGCGCTCCAGATTCTTGGTTTGATGTTGTTGAGCGCATCTCAAACGACAATAACAAGACATTCCAGTAAGCATTTAGTCTATTATTATAATTTGTGGGAAACAAATTTAGCTTAGGCAATATTACAATGGCTATGCTCGTGAACATAGTTATGTACTCTTTGTCCACTTTTTCAGGTTGTCAATTGAGAATGAAAATGATCCTCCGGACATAGAGTCATAGATTATGATGGCCTAAGTTATGGAATGAAAAGCAAGTTTCAGCTGTGTCTAATACAATGCTCACTATTGCTGCAGGCGTACCTCAAATACCACTAGATGCCTGAACCTGACATCCTACAACTACCTCGGTTTCGCTGCAGCAGATGAGTACTGCATTCCACGCGTTGTCGAGTCTCTGAAGAAGTACTCAGCAAGCACCTGCAGTGCTCGTGTTGATGGCGGTACGACTGACATTATCATCCACATGCTTATATATCTTAACAACTTTTTATTTAGGAGCATAGACTAGTATGCTGATCATCCCCTTTATTTCATCTGGGAACAGGCACAACCAAGCTTCACACTGAGCTGGAGGGGCTGGTTGCACGTTTTGTTGGAAAGCCTGCTGCTGTCCTATTTGGCATGGGCTACGTTACAAACTCTGCCACCATTCCCTGTCTAATTGGAAAGGTTTGTTCAAATGTTTATATATTGTCAGATATCTGAATTATCAGCCCGCGTGGGCTCCTCTTAGGCCACGGTTGGGCCTGCTGGGCTGACCCTGGGCGGCCCATGATATATATCCACTTAACTAATATTGTGACCAGACCGAGAGGTGATTACTACTCTCGCTCCATCGTAAGTTATAAGTTATTCAGGCTTTTCTATATAGTTTTTATATGTATCTGGAAAAGCAAGAATAATTTGTAATTTGCACCATGTTCGCTTGATCGTTTCTGTGGCTTATAAGCCGGTTGATGCTGTTTTATTGTGAGAGAAAAACACTGTATCATGACTGATAAGCATGACTGATACGATCAAGCGAACATGGTGAATAGAGGGAGTATATTTACTATGGCTAAAAAAAGGGAGAGGTGATTACCTTTTTTCCCCCCTTTTTGTGATATTCTAGGGTGGGCTGATAATTAGTGACTCTCTGAACCACAATTCAATTGTCAATGGCGCAAGAGGATCTGATGCAACTGTTAGGGTTTTCCAGCATAACTGTAAGCTGTTGCGCCTCTGAACAATGCAGAGCTGTATTTGGTCGTCTCTGTGGTTTTCTGTTCATATGAGTTATCATCGTAAATGTACTCTTGCAGCCCCTGCTCATCTGGAAAAGGTCCTGAGAGAGCAGGTAGCTGGTGGTCAGCCACGGACACGCAGAGCATGGAAGAAGATCATTGTCATTGTTGAGGGTATATACAGCATGGAAGGGGAGCTGTGTAAACTCCCCGAGATCATAGCTGTTTGCAAGAAATACAAGGTCTGGAGAATTCTTTTGTAATTCTCATTGAAAGTTTGGCAAATAATTTTTTCTTTACTGTTCTTTTGTGCTTTGAGTGCAACTCAAAAAACAGACATATTCATTTACTCCTTGTTCTGTCAAATTAACAGGCTTACACATATCTGGATGAGGCCCACAGCATTGGTGCTGTTGGGCGGTCTGGCAGGGGTGTTTGTGAACTCCTTGGGGTTGACCCAGCTGATGTAGACATAATGATGGGAACTTTCACCAAGTCTTTTGGATCATGTGGTGGATATATTGCAGCATCAAAGGTGTACACTACTGAAAGCAAGCATATTACAACTGTAGCACCTGGTAAGACTGCGTTGAAGTTGAAGATTGGCTAATTCTTCTTTCTACAACTTTCAGGAGATAATTCAGCACCTGAAACAGAGTTGCCCGGCACATCTGTATGCTACTTCCATGTCACCGCCAGCAGTGCAACAAGTTATCTCTGCTATCAAAGTTATCCTTGGGGAGGATGGCTCCAACAGAGGTACTAATTAAACGAGCTTTCCTAACACCTTTCTTTTTGCCCTTTTCATTTGCAGCTGTGTTTCACTATAATGTTCAACTGAATAATTCTTTTTTTTCCCTTGTGATATGTTGAAGGTGCCCAAAAACTTGCTTGCATCCGTGAAAACAGTAATTTCTTCAGGTCGGAGCTCAAGAAGATGGGTTTTGAGGTTCTTGGTGACAATGACTCTCCTGTCATGCCCATAATGCTCTACAATCCGGCTAAGATTCCTGCATTTTCTAGGGAGTGTTTTAGACAAAAGGTTAGTGCATGGTAGAGTGTATCGGAATATTCTGAAGATCCAAATAGCAGGCACTATGCTTTATTTTGACATAGTTTTCTTTCAGAATGAGAACTGTGGTGCTAATAGCAATATAATCTGCATGTAGTCCATATCCATCACTATTTGCGCCATCGGTTTCATTCTTCCTATTTGTCATGCAAGTGATAACAACTTGTGTTGTAGGTTGCTGTTATTACTGTGGCATTTCCTGTGACACCCCTTCTTCTTGCAAGAGCACGTATCTGCATTTCTGCTTCACACACTAGGGAGGACCTAATGAAAGCTCTTGATGTGAGTGTTTTTTATGCATAAATAAATACTTCATTATATTCTATTAGACATAAATAGAGCCAAATTAAACTGACGTGTTTCTTGTTTGTGCATCGCACTTTTAGGTTATCAGCAGAGTCGGTGATCTTGTGGGCATCAAATATTTCCCTGCAGAACCACCAAAGATTGCCGAAGCTGATGCTGAAATTACCTCATGTCCATGAGTGATTGAAGTCTCTTTTTAAGTCATCAATAAATCATTGTGGAAACAAACACGCATTGAACATGCAGCTTCATTGGGATTTTGTGGACATAAAGAGAGTCCAGATCCGTCGTATTAGCGGAATACTTGTTTCTTGATTGTACATTTATATCCTTTGAAAGATGTATAACTGGTTCAAGTTCAGTTCTGTTGTTAATCTATTCCAGATATGTGCATTACCACTACTAAGGCTAGTTGCTTTCCTTATTTTTCGTATCACTCGGTGAAGAGAATGGCTTTGGTACTCTTTTTTTTTTAAAAAAAAGAACAAAAAACAAATCTTAAAGCAATATTGTAAATGATACAGTACCAAGTGAATGTATTTGAATTTGTTTTCATCTTATACGAACTCGGTGAGCATATTGATGGATATTTAATGTTGTCATTGCTGTATCGAAAAGAATAGGCTCCACTGATCAACGAACCACTGGTTTCAAAACCAGCGGTAGTTCCCATAGCACTTCGTGACTTTCCTTTTTAGATTAGAAAAATTAATTTAGTAACTTTTTTTTTAAGTTATAAAGTTGTACACCTAACTTTTACATATAATATTTTATGAGACAACTTATTAGCATAACTTAGTCAATACATTTTTAATAATATTATAGACAACTTATGATGATAACTTTGTGTGTAACTTTTAAAGTCCAATTTTTGTTCATAGTTATTGACCGAAACTAATTCATAATAATTTCTCAATATTTTCATAGCTTTTTATTTTTAAAGATCACAAAGTTATACACACAAATTATGTGCATGACTAGAGAGTTGAATGCAATCATATAGAGTAAGTGGCTGCAAAATTGAACCTCAGGCAACTATAGAGTTGAAAGCTGTGTCCATAACATGTTGCGATGTACATACCCAATGAAGTAAAACAGCAACAGGTGAATACAGGGGAAGGAATCTCCAGACCCGAAGGCACAAGATTTTTAGGCTCTGCTATTTTAAAAAATGGGACAACACAATGACATAAATATACAGCGAGTCACCACATGAAGGGCCCTTTGATTAGGCTTTCCAACCTGTTTTTGTTCTTGTAAAGCCAATCAAAGAGATAAAAAGTCGCAGGTGTTTTTGTCCAAAACAGCTTTCACTTTAGTACAGATCAAAAAGCAGGTTTCCTCTACTTTTAGCTGCGCTCGGGGTAAAAAAATTAACCACCTACTACTCGTTACGTAACGTCCCGGTTCGTTCTTAATTCCCCGAGCGACCTCTTCTCTTCTTCGCGAGCTCGAGTCGGATCTGAGCACGAGCTCCGGCGTGGTCACCGCTCCGGCGGCGGCTCCAGCGCGGGCGGCGGGCGCACCGCCCTTCCCAGGCGTGGGCATGGCCCCGGCGGCCGCACGGGCTCTGCTCCGACCATGGCGGTGCCTCGCACGAGACCCAACGCGCTCACACGAGACCACGGCGGCGCCTCGCACGGGCCCTGCTCCTGCGAAGCTCCCTTCCTCATCCTCTCTGCAGATGTACGCCGGAGCGCCGCCGCGGGCAGGCGCGGACTCCTCACCGGAGCGCCGCCGTGGGCAAGCGCGGATTCCAGCCCTCCACGTTGGAGTGTTGCTGCGGGCAAATGGGATCTCGGGGAGGCTGGCTTGGCCCCGAGCAGATGCCACCGCACGCACGAGATGTTGACGGTAGGGAGGAAAGAGAAGATGCTGACGGGTGGGGTCCGCTAGTCAGTAAGAGAGGGAGAGAGTTGAGTGGGGTGGACTCTGAATGACATGTGGGGTTAGCTTGTAGGTGTTTTCTAAAAGCCACATTTGTTTCACCAAACGGTCTTCTGCTTTTTCCTACAGCTGGTTTTGCAAAGTCCACAGCTCCAACATCTTTTTCAAGAGCCACAGCTTAGCCAAACACACCATAAAGCTAGAGATGCACCTGTACAATGGCAGAGGGAGCTTCGCAAGTTCCATTCAGCAAAAGGAATTACAAGATTTGCTGAGACTAAAAAAAAGAGAAACTAAAATCATGCCATGGTTTGTTTGAAAAAGTCAAACTTCTTTGCCCCTACTCAATTCCACCGGGAAAACAAGCCTCTATTGTGGCCACAATAATGGCCATTAGCTAGCAAATGGTGACGCTTGTGCCCCTATTCGCTTGATCTTATCAGCCATACCGTTTCAGCGAAATAACAGTGTTTTTCTCTCACAATAAATCAACATTAGCATCAGCATCAGCATCAGTCGTTTTTCTAGCTAGCCAAACATGACCTGTATTTTTATTGCTTAATAGGAACAAGGATGATCTGGGACACAGAGTAAGATGTCTCTCATAATGAATCAAACACAAGGGAGCACACGTGTGCATTGTAGAAAAACAGTGAGTAGTCTGCCATGTTTACACCTTTGTCTTTTTATTCTTTTATATGCCCGTTGAAAGAACTATGGTCTTCGCCAGTTAAAAAAAATGAGCACAGCCGCAGAAACTTCCATTACGAGCACACACGAGCCGTTTGTGGTAGGCGGATGGCGCGTACGTGGGCCGGGACGCTGAGAGCGGCAAGCCCACCGCGGCTCCACAACATATCGTGCAGTCGTGCGACGTAGAAGGAGGGCCCACGTGGGTTAGAGGGCCAATGGGATTTGCTAGGGACGAATGAATGTTATCGTGGTATTATATTTTTCCGTTGCAAAAAAATAGAGAACAACTTATCATCATTTTTTTAATTTTTTCTAAAAAAATAATATTCCTATTTTTTTTATTAAAAAATTAAGTTATGCTCATAACTTATGTGTATAACTTTTTACGTGACAAATCATAACTTTTGCAGATTTGTGGTCATGATTTAATAGATCGGAAGAAGAGAACAAGTGAAAAAAGAGAGAAAATGTTGAAAAAGAAAAAAACATGTGCACAACATCATATTATATATACTAGTATATGAATATATATACTTCATCTAAAATAGATAGTTTAATGTATGAAATATAAAAAAGCAAAGGAAAAAATAGAAAATAAAAAATGAGAAAAGTAAAAGGTGAAAGACCTACTTCTGGATAAAGGGCCTGTTCGCTTGTCTGAATTTTGGAGGAATCTGGATGGTTTGGAGGAATGCTGGAGGAATTTGTGAGAGAAAAACACTGTTCCGGATGAAAAAATAAGCGGATCAAGTCGGGTTTAAGGGCACGCGAACGGGGCCAAAATGTAAAACAGGACCGCTACTGTTCTTGGGTCCACATGCTAGAGACGGTGTGGTGGAGACGGGAGAGTGACCGCTCGTGGTGGAAAGTGACGGCTCCTTTGGAAACGTGTGGTCGTCCGCCAAATTGGATTTGGGAAAAATACCTGTTGATACTATGCTCTTGTCTAAAAACTTGATGGCCCCTTTAATTTAATTAACGTATTTCAGCATCCATTTCAATGGGCTTGGTTATGGGGTCATTCGGAATTGTATTGTCCATTTTCCACACCTCACACGAAAACTTACCACTCCTTGTTGATACTTCCTCCATCCTAGCATAACTGTTATAATCTTCTTAAATTCTTTTTTGCAGGGATAAACTTCTTAAAATTTAACTAGGTGTTAATAAAAAATAGCATCAAGATTTATATCTCTAAAATAAATTTATTATAAAAATATATTTTACCTTAAATATAATCTGTTAATACTATCATCATAAATATAAAGTATTATATCACTCTACTCCTACTCACTAGTGATGACAAGAAGACAAGAGAAGAGAGGAGAAAAACAAGGTGCATTCACCTCAGAATTTTTTATTTTTCAGCCATTTTAAAAAAAAATATTCACAAATAAATCTCTAGTGGTTTGATTTTCGTTTATGGACCCTAACCTCAGTGTCATTGGTGCCGAGGAAACACGTCCCGAGGTTTTGGCGAGGTGTCGGACGTGGCGGTGACCTGGCGCCGACATGGACAAGGCCTCAGCGCCATATATCTTGACACCGAGCTCGGCACCGTAGATCTTGGCGCCGAACTGTTACCCTATAGATCTTAGCGTTTGAAATGAAACTAGTATAATTGTTCCGAAAAACATGTAAAACGCCATTGCGGTTCAGCTGGTTAGGACGCGCGCGACTTAGCTCAAAGGCTTAGGTTTGAACCCAGCGCTGAATCTTTTTTTGTTACATTTTTATAAGCAATAGAACAAAAAAATTATTTCGAGAAACATGCTATATCTCAGTTGTAGTCTAGTTGGTTAGGATGCTTGGCCCTAACATAAGACCTAGGTTCAAATCCAGCAGGCAAAATTTGTTTGCTGCATTTATTAATTATTTTTTTTACTTACTTAGTTATTACTAACGTCCTGGGTTCCACCAAACTTTGTTATTATTAACATGAGAGAACACTATTCATTAATTTGTAATTTATTTTGGATGAAGGATACAGTGCATTTATTTATATATTATCTAAATCCTAATCCTCCTTATATTATCATAATCATGGATGTATTTATTTATTTATTAGTTTATATACCTCGATAGTAGTGTTTTTCTTATGAGGGAGAGATCCTCCTCCGTTCCTCATCAAACTTAGTTAAGCAGTCCAAATGATGATAATATAGAGCTCTTAGTTAATACATTAAGCCCATCCTTTTCGTTAATTCTATTTCATGTAAAATAGGGAGATATGCAAATTAAAGAGTTCAACACTGAAATAGGGAGGCAAAGAAAATTACATTTACTTCATGTAAAATAAATTCTTTTATTTATTTACTCTGGTCTCGAAAGCCTTCAAGTTATATATGATGACAAAAGCCACATGCATATAAGTAAAAGGACGGTAAAGCGACAATATATATATAAACACGTCGCTCCAAATAAAAAATAAATTATTGGGGATCGACTGGCGTGGCGGAGGCGGCGGCGATTCCAGTCGACCTTCCAAGTTCCAACCCTCACGCGAGAAATTCGCAGGTATTCTCCCCGCAGATTCCATCTCCTCGCCCCCTTCTCCGATCCGATCCATCGCGGATCGCTGCGTTTCCTGTTCATCATGTTTTATTGGGGATTTTTGTAGTGAGTTACCTTTTTCCCCTCTTGTGGGCGCCGGGGGAATTTTGAGGGTTTAGTCTTGGGGTTGATCGGAGGCGAAAGCTGCGGTATTCGTGTGGATAGGCCAACGATTCTCCCTGCTGTGGCTCACGATTTCCCAATTTCGTGTAATTCCGGTTCTGTGGGGTGCCTTACTTTTTCTGGTTTCTTTGTTAGGGCTCCGATTCTGAGCCATGAAATGGATGGATATTCTGATCTTGTAGTTTTGGGTAGTTCGTCTCTCATAGGAGAGATTCTTTGGCTGAGATTTTCTTCGGTTTGATCAAAAAAAAACGGAAAAGGAAACCCGGTTTGCCCTCTTCTTCAGGTCCAATTTGGCATTTTTTCAGAACATACGATTCCTGTCAGTCTGAAGTTGTGGACTCTATCTGAGCTGTTGTTAATTTAACTGCTTTCTGCTACACAATCCATTAACTGCTTTCCGATCCGTATTCTGTGTTAACTCTTGTCGATTAGTAGCACTTTAGAACCAAGTGCTGCTTTGTGCAAACTGGTCCGTAGCAGAGTTTCGTGTTCATTCCTGCAAATGTTCATTAGTTAATGCCTATAGCTGATATAAAAATTTGTCCATGTTGTTTGTTTGTGAGCAGGCAGTATTTGGGGAACTGCACGAGTAATGGAGGTTTATTAGGATTCCAGGGGAATCACAATGGCATACTTCCCTCAGGAAGTAGTAGAGTACATCCTTGGCTATGTAACCTCGCACCGGGACCGCAACGTGGCGTCCTTGGTGTGCCGGGCATGGTACAACATTGAGCGCCACGGCCGCCGTTCGGTGCTTGTAAGCAACTGCTACGCGGTGCGCCCAGAGCGTGTACATATGCGGTTTCCCAACATGCGTGCACTGAGCGTGAAGGGCAAACCGCACTTTGCTGACTTCAACCTTGTCCCAGCGGGTTGGGGTGCCGCTGCAGAGCCATGGGTGGATGCGTGCGCCCGTGCATGCCCAGGTCTTGAGGAGCTCCGGCTGAAGCGTATGGTTGTGACTGATGAATGCCTCAAGTTGCTTTCTTGCTCTTTTACCAACTTTAAATCACTTGTCCTTGTCTGCTGCGAGGGGTTCAGTACTGCTGGGCTTGCTAATATTGCCACCAATTGCAGGTGAGAATTCTGAAAACTTGGACATTATCATGTTTGAGAAAGTGCCTAGTGTTGGCGTAGATCACCAGATCATAGGTAATTCGGCACAAGTAGAACTGGGGCTGTCAGAGGGCAGCTTGGCTAACAGGCCGTTTGGATTGTATTGAATTGCAATAACAACTTGGATAAAAAAGATGCTAACCACTGCATATATAAGCAAGTGGTGTACCTACTCCTTAGCATATTCTAACTTCATAAAGCAGATGCTATGATTCCTACTTGGCTGCCAAGGCACCATGATCAACTTGGTTGCCAAGGAACCTGAAAAATTACATGACGTTGAATAGTAAATAGCTATAGTAGGTAATCGGAAAACATGAACACTAGGCTAACTCATCGACAATTCTCCCCTTTAGCCTTGTGGTCCTTGGAAGTGATCTGCTTGAGCCCAATTCTTCCCTCATCTCTTCAAATTTTGATCTTCCAAGAGACTTGGTTAGAATGTCGGCCACCGATCGATGGTGGATATGTGATCAGCCCGATACTTCCATCTTCCAAGCAGTTTACGATGAAGTGATACTTGATTACGATGTGCTTACTTCGCTCATGAAAGACTAGATTCTTGGCTAGAGCAAGTGCGGACTTGCTATCAACTTTCAGTTCAACCACTTCCACATTCCTTCCAAGGAGGTCTCGCCAAACACTGGATAGCCAAATAGCTTGTGTTGCGGTACTGGTAGTGGCAATGTACTCAACTTCACAACTAGATAGAGTCACCACCTTCGCTTGATTGACTACCGGCCAAAGACGCAAGATTGCTTCCCGGAAAGAACAGGGTGCCACTAGTGCTCTTGCCGGTGTCAATGTCCCCACCAAGTCATTGTCGCAGACCCAACAAACCTTGCTCTCCCCGAGCCTTAGTGTAGTGCAGCCAAACTCCGAGAGTACCCACCACATATCTCGGGATGCGCTTGATGGCAGCTTGGTGTTTTGCAGTCGGCCTCTCCATGAATCGACTGACAAAGCCTACTGAGAAGGCTAAGTCAGGTCTTGTGTGGACCAAGTAGCGCAAGCTGCCCACCAATCTTCTGTATTGGGTGGGATCAACTTTTGCAGCCGTGCTCTGCCTGCTCAACCTCAACCGCTCCTCCATTGGTGTATGGGTAGGGTTGCAGGCATCCATACCTCCTAGATCAAGGATCCTCTTGGCATAATGGGTTTGCCTCAGAGTGATCCCAGCTGGATCTTGGTGTACTTCGACCCCCAGGTAGAAGGACAGGAGGCTGAGGTCGCTCATGTCGAAAACCTTCTTCATCTAAGCCTTGAAACCTTCTATGGCTTGAGCGCTGGCACCGGTGATGATTAAGTCGTCAACATAGACGCCGATCAGCAGCAGCTCCTCCCCTGTTCCTCGCTTGTACATCGCAGCTTCATGGTCGCTTTGCTGGAAACCCATCTCCTTGAGGGTGGCGTCTAGCTTGGCGTTCCAAGCTCGCGGAGCCTGTCGTAGGCCATACAAAGCCTTGCACAGACGGTACACCAACTTCTCCTTCCCGGCGACGGTGAAGCCAGGCGGCTGCTTCACGTACACCTCCTCCTTGAGGTCGCCGTTGAGGAAGGCCGATTTGACGTCCATGTGGTGGACGCGCCATCCTTCTTGGGCCGCCAGCGCGAGGAGGACTCGGACGGATTCCATGCGCGCCACGGGAGCAAACGCGTCGTCGAAGTCGATCCCTTCCTGCTGGACGAAACCCCGCGCCACCAAGCGCGCCTTGTACTTGGTCACCGCGCCCCGCTCGTCCTTCTTGAGCTTGTAGACCCACTTCAGAGTGATGGGCCGGTGACCGGGAGGAAGCTCCACAAGCTCCCACGTGCGGTTCTGCTCAACCGCCTTGATCTCCTGCTCCATGGTGGCCTGCCAGGCAGGATCGCCTTCAGCCTCCGCGAAGTTGGCCGGCTCGCCGGCGTGCGTGAGGTGAAGCTCGGCGAAGAGACGTGAAGCCGGTGGCGGTGTGGGCGCGTCCCCGACGATGTTGGGCATGGTACGGTACCGCAGCTGCTCGCCGTCGTAGAAAGCGTCAAGGCGATCGTCGTCGTCCTCGAGCGGTGACGCGAACTCAACTGGGTCCGCCTGCTCGGTCTCCGCTGCTGGTGAAGCAGAGGAGGCCGGTGGATCGTGCTCCCCTGGAGCTGGTGACGGCGTGCGCGGCGGAGCTCCGTCTGCGTCGACTCCCCAGAACTCGATGTCGAAGTCGCTGGAGGCGGAAGCAGACGTCCCGGCGGCCGAATTGGACCAATCCCAGCCGCGCCCTTCATCAAACACCACGTCGCGGCTCACCTTGACGCGTCCTGTCGCCGGATCGAGGACCCGGTAGGCCTTGGCGCCCTCGGCGTAGCCGATGAAGACCCCAGCCTTGCCGCGGTCGTCGAGCTTGCGCAGCTGCCCGAGCTCCCTTGTGTAGGCGACGCAGCCGAATGTACGCAGATAGCTCACCGCCGGCGCTCGTCCGTGCCAGGCCTCATAGGGGGTCTTGCCTTGCAAGCTTCTTGTCGGCGCGCGGTTGAGCAGATGCACCGCCGTCATCACCGCCTCCCCCCAGAATTTGGCCGGCATGGACCTCTGCTTCAGGAGCGCGCGTGCGGTCGCCACGACCGTCTGATTGCGCTGCTCCACCACACCGTTCTGCTGCGGTGAGTGTGGTGCAGAGTAGTGCCGCTTGACTCCTTCGGCGGCGAAGTACTGCGCCAGCTCGCCGACGGTGAACTCTCCTCCATTGTCGGTCCGCAGCACCTTGAGCTCACGGCCGGTCTCCTTCTCTGCTTCGGCCTTCACCCGCTTCACGGCATCCGCAGCAGCATCCTTGGTCGGCAGAAGCATCGCCCACATGAAGCGGGTGGCGTCGTCCACCATCAGCAAGAAGTAGCGGCGCCCTCCTGGCGTCGCCGGCGTCACCGGCCCGCACAAGTCGCCGTGGACGAGGTCCAGGGGCGCCTACGCGCGGTACTGCGCCTGCTGCGGAAACAGCTTGCGGCGGAGCTTGGTGGTGTCGCAGACTTGCTCCGCATGCTTGATCACCGGCATCCCCCTCACCATCTCCTGCTTGCCGAGCTGGTGCAACGCCTCGAAGCTGAGATGCCTGTAGCGCTCATGCCACCTCTATGACTCGTCCTCCTTCCTGGTGGCAAGACACACCGGCTGCGCGGCCTCCAAGTGCAGGATGTACAACCGACTGGGCCCGCGATGTACCTTGGCGAGAAGACCACGCCGGTCCCAGATACGGAGCACTCCATGTTCAATCTCCACCCTGGAGCCTCCTTCGCCGAGTGCCCCCAAACTCATAATCGAGTTCGGGAGTCTTTGGAATGTAGAAGACGCCATGGAGGACGGTTGCGTCCCCCCGTTCTTGGCACGGAAGACGATGGAGCCGGTCCCCTTGATCTCCACTCGAGACGAAGTCGCCGAACGCACTGCGTGCTGCAAGGCGGTGGTGTGTCGAGCTCGGCGAAGAGCTCCCGACGGCGGTCATGTGATGCGTGGCCCTCACCGCCGAGGTACCACCGTCGGCGCCTCCTCGTTGGCGCTGCGGTGTTGAGTAAGACACGCGCGCGGCTCGTTGATGTCGAGGGATGCCGTGGGCCTTGGAGCGAGCGACTTCAACCTTCTCGTCGAGCTCGAGGAAGCCGTGGGCGAGGAACAGAGCACCATCATCGCCCTCCGCCTCTGCGGCGTCGCGCAAAGACCGCCACGCCCACCACCGCGCCGCGGCACCTCGATCACCTCCAACGCGTTGCCCTCCTCGCGTTAGTAGCCACCGCCGCCGCCGCCGCGCCACCACCACCACCACGGCGGTGGCGGCGGCGGCGATGGCGCGCGCCCCTAAAGGCCGCGATCACCACGCTTGAGGCAGTGTCGTCGTCGTCGCCCGCGATCGTCGCCACCGCCGCCTCTCCTCCGCCGCCGCGATTGCCCTTCCTGCTGCTTCTTGCCGCCGCGTGGACGACGCCATGGTTCTCCTTACGACGCGAAGCGGCAGCCTCCTCCTCCTCCTTACGCCCATCGCTGCTCCTTGTCGCCAGCCGAGATCGCCGATGGCGGCGCCGTTCCATGCGCGCCTCCATGTCGTCCACCGTCTTCAAACGCCCGACACCTCCTCGATGGTGAGGTCTCGAAGTCGAGAAGCGTCTCGATGGCGATCCGGGCTGGGCGTGCCGGCGGCGGCTGCCAGCGCGCGAGCCTCTCCACCGCGCGCTCTTCATCGATGTCGTTGTCGCCGTGGAGAAGAAGCTGCTGCTTCAGGGCCATCAAGCGAAGGGTGAAGTCCTCGATCTGCTCACCCGGACGGAAGGCGAGCTTCTCCCGCCGCTGCGAGTCGGCTGGAGCGTGGAGCGCGCGCGCACCGATCGACGCCGATCAGCTGGCGGCGATGGAGTCCCAGCCTCCTTGGCGATCCCTTCTCGAGACGGCATCTGCATCTCCTGCAAAGACGGGCGGCGATGATCGCCTCCACCGCGCGCGCTTTCCCTCATCATGGTACGGGCGAGTCCCGGTACTCGATCGCGTCCCAGAGTTGCCGCGCCTGGAGCTTCCGCTTCATGATCGAGGCCCACTCATGGTAATTTGACTTGGTGAGCATCGGCCACGTGGAGCTCGAGCCAGAATCCTTGTATCTGATGCGGATCACCGGCGAGCGGCCCCTGGCCCGGCTCCGCTGGGCGGCGATCCTGATCCCGACGGGCGACCGCGTCTGCCTGCGCTCGCGCTCCGGGCTCCCTCCATGGAAGCGGGTGGCGATCGCGCGGCGGATCCTCCTCCACCAACTCTCGACGCAGAGCCGCGGCCGTGGCGGCCGCGTTAAAGCTGCTCCGCTGCTGCGGCCTCTGCGCCTACGCTGCGCTGCTTGCTGCGCGCCTCTGCTGCCGCCGCTGCGCACGCTTTCGTCGTCGTCGTCGTCGTCGTCTGGCTGCTTTCTCTCTCTCTATGAGGTGGCCATGCCTCTCCTTTCTCTCAACACGAGCTCGATACCAATTGTTGGCGTAGATCACCAGATCACAGGTAATTCAGCACAAGTAGAACTGGGGCTGCCAGAGGGCAGCTTGGCCAACAGGCCGCTTGGATTGTATTGAATTGCAATAACAACTTGGATACAAAAAGATGCTAACCACTGCATATATAAGCAAGTGGTGTACCTACTCCTTAGCATATTCTAACTGCATAAAGCAGATGCTATGATTCCTACTTGGTTGCCAAGGCACCATGATCAACTTGGTTGCCAAGGAACCTGAAAAATTACATGACAGTGAATAGTAAATAGCTATAGTAGGTAACTGGAAAACATGAACACTAGGCTAACTACTAACACCTAGTGCCATTATTTTAGTTCATCCAGCATGGCCATTTGATTAATAACAATTCATTTCAGTATAATGTTTGCAATCTTCATGCTGGTGCTGCTGAGTTTATTGTTTGTGCACCATTTTATACCAGATTACGTATGCCTTTTCCATCTCTGTTTACTTCCTTGGCTCTTGATTATTGGAAGTTATCTACTGTGTGTTTATAGATGCAATGCAAAATCTACGAAACAGAAGTTATCTATAATTCCTGTTCTCATCTACAGGATTTCAACATGTTTTCGTTTGTTCTTGGCAGTTTCTCCGTAGCTCTATCTGAATGATACTTAAGTACTGAAATGTTGTTTATGATTCCTTTGGTTTATGTCCGAATACCATCATTAAGATCTTGAATGCTTTGCAGAGCACAAACTCTTGAACAAAAATCTTTGATGAAAGGTGGTGCAGTAGTTTCTTTAACTCTTTAAGTCTGCTTAGTACATGCCTATTGCCTAATGATTGAATTCCATTCCTTGTTTCTATTTCTCTAGTAAAGTACATAATGCTTTAGAAAAAGCATGGTTGAGATTGAGACACCTAACTAGAACAATTATATTTCAATGCTGGAAGAAAGATCAAGCTGCAGTTATATAATATTATTGGCTTCCAGGTCTGACATCTTCGGTTGTGTTAAGCAAACTTCATTTTAACTGACAAAGTGTCTCTTATTGTTTAGTTTGATACAGAGATTTTACTTATGGTTATGTTTAGTTCACTCAATTTTACATAGGTTATTAGTCCACTCAATTTTACATATTTTGTTACTCTTCGCTTTCAGGTTTCTTAAGGAACTCGACTTACAAGAGAGTTGTGTGAAACATCAAGGCCATCAGTGGATTAATTGTTTTCCCAAGCCTTCAACATCACTAGAATGCTTGAATTTTTCTTGCTTGACTGGGGAGGTGAATGCCGTTGCATTGGAGGAACTTGTTGCAAGGAGTCCAAATCTTAAAAGTTTAAGGCTGAATCCTTCAGTTCCAATTGATGTTTTGCCCAGAATCCTTTCTCGCACACCTATGCTAGAGGATTTAGGTACAGGATCTTTTGTACTAGGCAATAACGCTGGTGCATATATCAGCCTATATAGAGCTCTTGGAAAGTGCACTTTGCTGAAGAGTTTATCTGGTTTTTGGGATGCTCCGGGCTTGTATGTTCAAGGAATTTTGTTGCCGATTTGCAAGATATATATCAGCCTTACATGCTTGAATCTCAGCTATGCTCCATTGATTCAGAGTGACCAGCTTATCAGTATTGTTCGTCAGTGTACAAGGCTCCACGTTTTATGGGTAAGATTTCTTGCAGTGTTGCTAGGAAGTTGGCTCACTTATTACATTGAACTAGCCTAATTGCCTGTGCAAATATCTGGCTAGATTTGAAAATATAGGGGAATTCACTGTATTACTCTTATGCCTATGGTTGAAAAAACAATTGTGGTTGTGCCTATGCCCTTTTGAGTGTTGTTGCATTGTTCTGGAACTATTAAAACAAGTTAATCTTAACCTTTTAACATCTGGACTTACAGAATTTTGCATTGTACATCTCTCTTTTTCTCTTGATAAATAAGAATGTCTCTTTATATTCCTTATTATTCTCTCCCAGATATTTTTTTAATTTTAGGATTGTTTTGGTTCCGTGGAAGCTCCTGTAGCTTTACATATGTTGATCACCTGATGCAGTTTTGAGGGTTTAACAAGCTAGATTGTATTAGATTCTCAACTTACAAAAGATTCTGGGTCCATCTATTTCAAGGTTGATTTACTGGAATGATGGGTATTGGATATTTTGTTCATGTATGTACCCTGTTTATTTTGGCAACAAATGTTCTACTTCTAATTACTTAGGGTACGCTTGGTTATTTTGACGAGTACTGTACAGCCCTAACGAGTTAGAAATCAGAAAGACACGGTCATTTGGTTGCTGGGTAAGACTTCCTTGGAACCTGACTAGCGCGTTTTTTGCTTGCTTCTATAAGTGAGTGAATTCGGCTCGCCAGCACTGTAAGGCTTGGTTGGGCTGGTGAGGCGGCTTGGGAACCAACTTGCCCTTAGGTATGAGTTGTGCCCAATAGTCAAGAGGTCTGCATACTGTAACACCTTCTATTAAACTGTCTAGTAGTTCTTACAGTTAAGCAGACATACAGAGTCCAATAATACTACACCCATGTTTCTTAATCTCTAGTTTGTACCAATATACAATATACACGTGTCGGAACCTTACTACCTGCCAATGTAACAATATACATTCCTGTATTTTGTTGTGATGAGAGTTAGCTAAATGTAAGAGACTTTTGAAATAAAAACCTTTTCAAATTTCCTTGCCATGTTTAAGTAAGGTCACAACGATTTATTGATACTGTTTTGTGTTTCTCTGCATAAGAAAAAGTTGCTCCCTCTACCGGATGTCAGCATGTTATTGATATCCTTAGGGGTATGAGTTTTAACCCTGTATTGATATCCTTAGCATTACACTTCATATGATACAACCTGTATGGATTTGATTCCTGTCACGTCTAGTATGCATTGGACGAAAGTGGCAATGCTATGTGATAACTAATAACTTCATTGGATTATTAGTGCTTAGATTTCATTCGGATTACACTTACTCTCAGAGAAGCTCCATTTCTGGTTGATTACAATTCAAATATAACTTCAGGCTTACCGAACTAATTGCCGTTGAATAGTCCTAAGAAATGGATTGTAGAAGTTAAACTTTGACGATCGAATGCTTGTTTCAGTAGGTGGCACCCTTACTGTTTTGCTTTCTTACATAGTTTCTTAGGCTTGACCCCTTTGTCTGCAGGTGTTAGATCACATTGGTGATGAAGGATTGAAGGTTGTGTCCTATTCTTGTCCTGATCTTCAGGAGTTGAGGGTATATCCAAGTGATCCAAATGCTCCAGCAAGAACTACTGTGACGGAGGAAGGATTGGCAGCCATATCTTTCTGTCGGAAGTTACAGTGTGTGCTCTTCTTTTGTGATCGAATGACAAACACTGCGCTCATTACTATAGCAAAGTACTGTCCACTGTTAACATCCTTCAGACTATGCATTCTGGAGCCCAGGTCAGCAGATGCTGTAACAGGGCAGCCACTGGACGAAGGCTTTGGGGCAATAGTGCAGTCCTGCAAAGGCCTGAGGCGTTTCGCTATGTCAGGCCTCCTCACGGATAATGTGTTCCTGTACATCGGCATGTACGCGGAGAAGCTGGAGATGCTCTCAGTAGCATTCGCAGGGGATACTGACGACGGCATGGTCTATGTGCTCAACGGCTGCAAGAACCTCAAGAAGCTGGAAATCAGGGACAGCCCCTTTGGTGATGCTGCTCTCCTTGCGGGCGCGCACAGGTACGAGTCGATGCGCTCTCTCTGGATGTCATCCTGCGAGATCACCTTGGGGGCCTGCAAGACCCTTGCGGCGACCATGCCAAACATCAACGTTGAGGTCATCAGTGAGGCGGGGGCGAGCGTTGGTGCGATGGATGATAGCGTCAGCAATGCGAGGAAGGTGGATAAGCTATACCTCTACCGGACTATCGCCGGACCCAGGAGCGATACGCCAGGATTCGTCTCGATATTGTGAGCTGCATGTACTAACTACTGTAGTGTCTAAAGGAGTTCAAACTCTATTTATACCCAGCTTTTTAGGAAAACTCGATGTTCTTGACCATATGCCTGCTGTGGCTGTGCTACTCTGTCTGGTAGTGTTGGAAACACACACACACACACATTATATATATATATATATATATATATATATATATATATATATATATATATATATATATATATATATATATATCGTTCTGTGAAACTGAAGCCTTGGTGCTATGTGAACCTTGTTTATGCCGGACACGTAAGAGATCTTAAATAGGAGTAACATAACATTTTGTATAAGTGTTTCATTCTGGCGGCTGGTGCTCTTTTTGTTGTGTCCTGTTTGTGATGCTGAAAGTGTTCGCGCCCTTGAGTTTCAACGATTTGTGCTGAAAATCTTCTGAGAAGCTGAGGATTGGCGAAATGGGCCAAACTTAAAAACAAGTGTCCAGTTGCTGTTATTTGCGTCCTTGCCCGAAAATGCTCATGTTTTATTACATTTTCTTACTCTCTCGCAAGGATTATACCTTTTGCAGCAATTGACAATTAGCACATATTTTGCAGCAATTGACGATTAGCACAATTAGTACTAGTTGTGGACAATGAAAAGATTGGATAATCTGCACACATAGGGGCGGACTGCTGTTGAGTTGATAACAGGTGACCCTTGGAGACCCAGAGTTTCTTGGTTGCGCTTGCGCACCTCTGTTGGATGTGAAGGAATGACCTGGAGGGCAGGAGGACAGCTGCGGATCACGAATCTGGCCAGTGGCCACCGCCGCCGCGCCGTACATGGCTGATGCCCGATGTCCGGGCCGACCACATGCGTGCTTCGATTCTTCCATGCATATGCTTGTCCCCACACGCATACACATCACTCACAATGAGAAAATCTGGGTGGGCCGGTGGACTTCCTTGGTCGGTTCAAACTTCCTTGGGCAATTTTGGGCTCAAACTATGGCTCAAACTTGTTTCTATATCTGCTCCAACAGATAAATTCAGAAAGTCAATGTCTACGCCGCAATCTCTAAGAACTCGAGCATGGCTTCGGTGGCCGCTGTGGCCTGGGATGAAGAAGGCAAACTTCCTGAGGGCATCGGCGCTGGTTCTGGAGGGATGCACTGATGCGTAAATTGCTGAGGTGGTGGCGTGCCGTGAGGGCTTGGCTTTAGCTAGTGACCTTGGTCTCCAAACGTTCCGGGTGGCGAGTGACTGCGTCAATGCAATAAGGAGCATCCATGGACAAAGGCTCTAGGACGCATGGCCCTATAATTCAGGAGATCAAGAACACGAAGGATGGATTCACAAGAGTGGAGTTCGTCCATGAGGGAAGAAGTTCTAATTTTGATGCTCATTGTTTAGCTAGGAGCTATGTTAATTTTTTGGTAGGAAGATATGTTTGGTTTATTTCGCCTCCTGATGGAGTCTTTACTTCTTATACTGATATATAATGAAGGCTGACTCTTTTGCTAAAAAAAAGATAAATTCAGTCTGGTTTCTCGCGTCCGATCAAAATGCACATATCGCTTTTCGATGGTCAAATCTTTTAAAGTTTGACCAAATATATAGCAATTAATTAATATTTATATTTGTAAGAAATTTATTATAAAATTATATATTCTACTATTAATCTAACAAAATTTATTACATACCATAAAATATAAGTATTTTATATATACTTGGTCAAACTAAAAAAATGTTTGACTCTTCGGGAATCGAGATGTGTATTTATGTTGAGGCGGAGAGAGTATATAATAAGATTTGATAAGTTATTTTAGATCATTCTCTTGCAAGTTTGATCAAATTTATAGGAAAAACAATTATATTTATGATATTAAATGAGTAACATTAGATATATAATGGAATATGTTTTTATAACTTACCTTTTCGGTGTGAATCTGGACTTATAAAATGAGTTGTTCTCTTGTGATCCCATTTCTGCATCATAAATATAGGTTTGTTAACCAGAAGTTATAACCAAGGTGCTTTTGTACACCTGGTTCCTAATCCTACAGTGATGCTAGTTGTGAATGGTTTTAATGGTCTTTTCCCATTGTACTGAACTTTGATTCCAAGAATAATAGTAGCTAGAATGTTTATATTAGGTGTATTATTCTTCTACGACATTCGTGATGACGAGGCAACTATCAAGAGCATCCTGCATGTGTACTCCATTAGGTCCATCACAAATCTTGTAAGTTTTTTTTTGTTCCTAATATAATCAAAGCTACAAAAACTTATACATAAGTTAATAATAACACAAGATTAATATTACAATATTCGTTATGCAAAATAATTTGTATATACAACTCTTTGAATTTAACACAATATATTTTTATCGATTTTTCTACCGAAAGTCATTGGAGACTGTATTGATGTCGTAACGGATTTCTATTTAGTAGTAACGAAAGGAAGTAATTTGTTTGCAAACAAAAAAGGTAAAGGAACTTCCTAAGCCAAAAAAAAGAGTTACCATTATTTCACTATATGTGTTCTAAGTAGCAACTATATATTAAGCTGCACACACCGGTTAATTGCATCTAAATGACCAAATCGATAAGAAAGGACCGTGTTCACTTCATCAATTGTACCTCAAGGTGTGGTATTACTTCGTTTCAAAAAGAGTAAACTTCTAGCTAAATGCTAAGTCAAACAATCTTTAGTTTGACCAAACTTTAAAAGAAATTTACAAATATTTATGATATCCAATAAGTTACATATATATAGCTCATCGTGAAATATATTTTCATGATATATGTATTTGGAACCATAATAGTTGATACTATTTTTTATAAACTTAATCAAACTTGAAATAATTTGACAACAAATCTAGAAGTGCACTCTTTTTGGATGGAAGGAGTACTTCAACATCAATAAGGTCGCGTTCATAATTTCGCCAACCTACCTAGATGCAAGAAGAACCCTGCAAAAAGGCTACCAATGATCGAGCAAGATCGAAGCGTAGCAGCAAGCGGTGCACTGTTCCTTTTTTTCTTCCTGTGGTCCTTGTTTGTTCTCGACCCCATGCAGGCTGCAAAGCATATAGTATGCGTCCCGCTTTCCGTTACACCAGCCACTATGGAAAGCGACAGGTCTACTGCTCACTACTAGCTCATTCTCGCTGCAAGTTTTGTCAATGTCAGCTCATGCATGACCGGGCGTACCTTGCACCCACTATTCCTTCAATTCCCATCTTGTTTTCGTTTCTTAAATAAAACCAATTGATTAACAAACGTGGCTTCGCATTAGGAGGAAGCTATGAAAAAATTTAGGAGGGACTGAACAAAAGTGTTATAACAACTTAGCTCTACTATGACCCCTTACAATAGACAAATATAATAACTTGAAGTAGTCTTATATTGAAAACGTCGATTAACGATGAAATTCACAAAATACATCATGAAAAATAAATGATGCAGTTCATTCATACCGAAAGGCCAAATTACGAAACTAATAGACGGCGCGTGACGTTGACACATTATTCATCCGAAGTAGAAATCTACACAAATAGACATAATTGATTAGTCAAACATATATGGACCTCCAAATTATGAATTTAGAATCGATTGGTGTGTGACTTACAGGGTCAGCAATTAGGTTTGAATGACTAAACTCTGCCCTAGGTTTCTTTGGTTGACTTGTGCTCTCATTACTATGTGGAGTTGAGCCACTACAACTTATCGACGAAATCTGGTTGCCAGTCTATCGAGGGGTATGCCCACGATAGTAGATGAATCGGTGGATGTGCGCGTGAGGAAACCGGATGGTGATACAGAACGCAAGAGACAACGATTAGATAGGTTCGAGCCGTCGGCTTGACGTAATACCCTATGTCCTGTGTCTTTGTGGATTGTATTACGTGTGTTTAGATGAAAACGAGGGGATCCCTACCCGCCTTATATAGCTTGGGGGGTAGGGTTACAGATCGGTTATTTCCATTCTGATCGGTTTACAAGATAGGAAGTTACAGATCGTACAATATCTATCATATCCGAGCAGATTTCGTAGATCACCGAGGATCTTTACGTTGCCTTGTGAAGCACGTCGTCCTGCGCATACTTCGCGTGGCGTTGTCTTGCGAGCTAGGCCTCGACCAGTGGTGCGCGACCCGTGCATAGTCTTGTGGGCTGGGCCTCCCCTAGCGGCTCAGCCCACGTGGAGCCTTGTGGGTACCGAGGGTCATACCCCCACAGCTAGTCCCCGAGCACCTTGCATCCACTGAGCAACACCATCTTGCGTCCATTTGAGCTGTCCAACTTGAAGCAACTCATCAGGATCAGTCTTCCGACCAGTTCAAATAGGGGCCGAGCTGTTGAAGCAAGAGTCCAAGTAGTTCGAACAAGCGTCCGAGCTATCGAAGTGGGTGTCCGACCAGTTGAGACAGGCGTCCGACCAGTTTAACTAGGTGTCAAGCTAGGACTCACTCGAAGTCATGGTTTGCCATAAGGATGTAAGGAGCTCAAGTAAAAATTTTAAAGTCTTGGTCAGTGATGTGTACACACTTAACTGCTAATTGCGATGGTCCTGACGACGTGGTCATCAAGACAGAGCATAGGTGGAGGCTCGACGAAGTCAAAACACTATGAAGAAGAAAAAGTACGTGCACCACAAGGTGCATTGTACACAATGTTGTCCCCGAGCCTGCTGGAAGATGACGAAGGAATCTTGTAGCAAGGTCAAAGAAAAATATACAGTCCACATCATTGCCGAAAGATTGAGTAATCAAGGAATCAGTACATTCACCACAAGGTGAAGTGTACACACTTAGTCCCCAAGCCTACTGGAAGATGATGAAGAAATCTTGTAGCAGGGTCAAGGAAAAATATCTTGGCATAGATGCATAACGAATTTCGTTGACCCAGCACTGAGTCTGGAGATTCGTTTCGTCGTTCCGCATTGAACGCGATTTAACGCCATGGCACACCTTGCTCATTTGGCGGCCCATCAACGTGCGACGGTTTCGAGAGGGAATGTGGTGGGTGAGGC